TAGATACTGTCCAGATAGTTTTTTTGTGGTACCAGGGATTGAACTCAGGACCTGGTGCTTGCCAGGCAAGCACTTATTCTACTAAGCTATCTTCCTGGCCCTCCAGATAGTTTTTGAGAGCTGAATTTTTATCTAGATCGTTTTTAGTTCTAATTTAATTTTAAATTTGTTTAATAGTTATAAATAATAGTTGCATAAGTCATATCTATATGTATGATTTTATATGTGTTTATTCTAGTTTTTAAATATTTGGCTGAAAAATATCTTCAAAAACTGAAACAACAAATAGCTGAGGATCCAGAACTAAGGTCTTCAAGTAGTAATAAAATCGGTAAGTACTCAGAAATTTTAGCCCCTGTTTACCAAGTATTTATCCCCAGTCATTATTATTATATTTACTTTTTTATATGTAATGTGGACATTTCTTTAAGAAATGTTACTTAAAGCCAGGTGTGGTGGTACACACCTGTAACTCCAGTACTCAGGAGGATCATTGGGAGTTTGAGACCACCCTGGACTATAGAGTGAGCTCAAGGCCAGCCTGAACTGCATAGTGAGACCCTGGCTCAAAAAGACAGAAAGAAAGGGGGGGGAGGAGTTACTTAAAAAGTGTTACATTATTAATTATTGAAAAGTATCAGATTTCTTGTTAAAAGGTAGATTGTGTAAACATGTTGTTTTTTTTCCGTTTTATGAATCCATTTAATACAGTGACTACAGGAGAGAGAACTTTTTATAAAGGTCTGTCCTCTACAGAAAAGCAGGGTTTTTTTGTTTTGTTTTGTTTTTCAAAACAGGTTGTTAGTAGAAAAAATACAGAATGATGTATAGAATATGCCATGTTTCAGATAGAAAAGGGAGGAAAAGAACATTTTGCACAACGCCTGGAGTTCTGGGAAGGTGGTAGAGAGCTGAGTGCCCAGGCTTTAACTCAGGACCACAGGGCATGCACCCCGGGCCCGCTTTGTATGAGCCATTAAGTAAGTGCAGCAAGCGGGCGTGGCGATGCGATCCTGTAAATCCAGTGCTTAGGAGGCCGAGGCACAAAGATTGCAAATTCCAGTCCTGCCTGGGCAACTCAGCAAGACCCTGTTTCACAATAAAAAATAAAAATGCCTAGGGATGTAGCTAAGTTCAATTCCTGATACCACCAGTTACACAAATAGACACGTAGCTGGTAATGATAACCTGGATCCTTAGTCCCAGTACTTAGGAAGCTGAGACAGAAGATCTCGAAGTTGAAGGCCGGGGAGATGGTTCAGTAGAATAAGCGCTTCCCTGTCAAGTGCAAGGGCCTGAGTTCAAACCCCGGTTCCGCAAAAAAAAAAAAAAAAAAAAAAAAAAAAAGATCTCAAATTTGAGCCTAGCCTAGGGAACATAGTGAGATATCTTAAATAAATGGAACAAAAATAAAAGGTTAAAATTTTAAATATTGAAATGTCTGTTGACATATAAATGAATAAACAAAATGTCATACACAAACATATACACCTTATAAAGGAAGGAAATTCTGCAGTGTGGTACAACCTGGATAACTTAAAAATGCTTCGCTTGCCGTGGTTTGGGTGTGGTTGTCCCCCAGAGCCTTGTGCAGTCGTAGGCAGGGGTTTTTAAGAGCTGGCTGGATCTACAGTGTGATGCAGGGACCGGTTCATAAGTTTGGGCGTAGGGTATTTTGTGTCAGCAATGAGAAAAGTAAGTAGTACAGGGGGCCGGGGAGATGGCTCAGTAGAATAAGCACTTTGGCAAGCGCAAGGACCTTAGTTCAATCCCTGGTTCTGCAAAGAAAAAAGAAAAGTAGGACAGTGCAAATTGAAATGGGCCAGGCACCAAGAGATGGAAGGGTTCATGGGGGGTGTCAGTCGTGGGGACAGGGAGGGGAGTGGTCATTCCCAGCTGGCAGGAGGGCTATGGAGAGTTACTGTTGAACAGCTGTAGAGCTTTGTGTTACAGATGGGGGAGGCATAACGGCTGTGGCTGTGCATCCTCATGAGTATTTAGTAGCACAGCTTAAGCTTGCTGGACCTGAGGTACAGCCTCTGGAAGGCTGAGGCAGGTGGATCACAAGTTCAAGCCTTGCCAGGGCAGCCTAGCAACGTAATGAGGGATTATCTCAAAATGAAAAATAAAAACTGAGCTGGAGGTGCAGCTCAGTGCTGAAGCTTTGGGTTCGCTAGTACTGCCCCGGCAAAATAGGTCAAGACAGTAAATTGTGTTAATGCAATAAAATGAAAACAATTGTGAACACTTGAAAATCCTTTCTGCGTGCTTCAGGTAACTCTGAGGATTATCAAAGTCTTTCTCTGTGTTCCCTCCAATTGTATAGGTGTCTTCAATACATCTGGGAGCAGTCACTTGGCTCAGAATCCAAGTACCCTGAATGGCGGAGATGTCCTCAATCTTAGACCTAACAAAGAGAGGACCAAGAAAAACAGGAGTCCGTTTAGCAGCTGTAGTGTACCCTAAGTGTTTAGGGAGGGAAAATTGAATTATGTTCCTCAGTTCAGTAAGAAACACACCCGGGTGTCACGGTATGTTCAAGTGTTTTAGCAGACTTACACCTGCTGGCTCCCTGAAAGCGACAGATGTTAACGTTACGCTTTTTGGAAAGTGGAGTGAGACCTCTGGTGAAATATTACTACCCTGTGGACTCATTTTATTTTTTTATATTACATGAACTTTGTCCTGTATTTGAAGGAATGCTGCAAGAAATACCAAAAGCAGGTTTTGCTAAATTGTAAATGCTGAAAACATGACTGAAATGCTTAATGTGGGTCCAGTTTAATGTAGTGCATCAAGGAACGGTGACAAGCATCCTTTTTCTGAAACTGGCCATCTAGCTTTTATGAAAAATAGTGTCGAGTCTGAATACTAACAGAAGTAGTCCTGCGCGGTGCACGCGCCAGGCGGCAGTGCTGTGCAGCACCTGCGGGTGCTGAGTGGCGCTGTGCCTGTGCGGGGACACACATGCTGATCACGTAGAGGGTCATTTACACACTGCGAGCCTTTATCTTCAAATAAGAAACTCTAGGTCTATATTTTGCAAAATGAGTTTCAACTAAAAAGTGCTTTGTGCCAAAAATATTGACCTAATTTTTACAACACTTTACTGTCAGAATTTATATTGTTTTCCTCTGTGGCAGGATTCATAAAAGAGGGCTGTGTAGGTTTGAAGCCAGAAGTCTTGGGGAAACTCCAGTCAGCCCTCCTGGTGTGGCCACTGTCAGCGCAGTGGCTCATGCCATTGTCAGGCTGCGGCGTCCCTGGAGGTGTGTGGCAGCTCTGCGGTTGCTCAGGACAACTGTGATGCGTGCTGACCAACAGCCCCTTTTATGATTATGCTAGCCATTTTTTAAAATGCATAAACAGTTACTTTCTGTCTGAGTCCATTTTATGGATTTTATAATGTCCAGCAACTCTAGAGCATCATTTTTGTTTACACATTTTTGATGGTACTGTATGTTAAGATATTGCCTAAAAATTTCTATTGCCTTTGGTTTGTATAGCACTTTCTCAAGAGCTCTGTCAGTACCACATAAAAAGTAATTTCCTGTGGGCCAGGGAGCTAGCTCAGCAGTCTAAGCACCTGCCTAAGAAGCACAGGGACCTGGGTTTGATCCCTGATACTACATGCTGTGCTGGTCCCAGACCCCAGGGACACCGTGCTGGCCACCAAGACCGGGTATAGTGGTGCATGCTTCTAGTCCCAGCACTGGGGAGGCTGAGACAAGAGGATCACTACAAGTCTGAGCTGCATAGTGACCCTGTACCAAATAAATCTTTAAATAATAATCATTTCTTTTAAAAAGCGATCTGCTATGTAATGACATAATAGAGCATCTACTTTGTGATTTGGGATGGTGGTAACCTTCCAAACAAAGGTAATTAAAGTCCACAAAAACTGGTTACCAACCTAGGCCTAGAGGTACTTATCTTTAATGCCAGCACTCAGAAGGCTGAGGCAGGAGGATCAAGACCAAGCAGGGCTACATAGCAACTTGGACCACTTAATAAAAACCTTTCTCAGAAACCAGTCTCCCTAAAACATCCTGAATATCATTCATCCTTTGTTCCCTGTTACTGGAGAATAGACCAGGGCCTTCACACTGAGCTATATCCTAGCTCTGTTTATTTGAGACAGTCTCTCCTAAATTGCTCAGGCTTGGCTCAACTCGGGATCTTCCTGCCTCAGCCTCCTGGAGTGCCAGTACTCTAGGCATGAGTCTGGCTTGGTAGCTTTAATGTATATATAACCCTTTTCAGTATACCTGGTTTGATAAGATTTCAAAATACACAAAAGTAACTTCTTAGAAAATGTGTCATGAAGTCATTTTTCATCCGTTTGTATTAAATACATTGAATATTTTACATTTCTCTTACATGTTTTATGTTGTTTTGAAGTTTCCCCTTTGTACCATCTCCCTCCCGTTCAGACTGAAGTGAGACTGTAAGAGGATTTCCTGGGCTGTGCCCTTGGTGGTGGTCCAGAGCGGTGGCTGCTTTTATAGCAGGTTGTTTTCAGAAACAATCTGGTGCTGGTTTTGCAGAGTAACTAATACAGATGTTTATGTTTCTGTCCCCACTTGTCACCATGCCTACTGAGGGTGGTGGGGTAAGCCTTGGGGGTGGATCTCAGTTCCTAGTGGACACCTACTAGTGATTCACCTTTTTTTTTTTTTTACTGTTTTCAGGTAGTCTTTAATTTTTCACAAAATACATGTTCTGGCAAAGAATCTTCATCTTTATTGGCAGAAATGTTTTTCACACAATGCAGTGCAGTTCTGTTTCACACTGATTAGTGTGTGTGAGTGAAAGTGTGTTCCTTTTCTGTTAAAAATTAGGGTCTGCTGGTAGTTCATTGTATTCTTGTTTTAAATGAAAACTGAAGCTATCTTTGTTGCGTATCTAGATTTTTGTTTTTCTTTGCTATATTTTGCACCTAACTGTAGTCATTTTAAATAATTAAGTAGGTTTGTCAACTCAGTTCTAAAACCTTCCAAATTAACATGGGTTTTCCCTTTGTGCCTCTTTCATCATTTAAGTAACCTTATTATAATTTGTAACAAAACCATGGATACTGAAGAGCCTCCCCTCCCGGCACTTACCGTGTGGGGTGCTTGTCCCTGACCCCTCTCCCTGTTGGAGTTCCTCAGTGGAGCTAATGCCACCAGGAGGGGACAGCTGGCCCCACGGTGGGTGCAGTGACAGGCTCAGCACAGCAGGGTGTCCCCACTGTCTGCATCCTCAGAACAGGAACTTTCCTGAAGATCCTTATGTGAGGAGTGTGGCTTGCTACCTAATGTCCCAACCTAGAAGTGTTGAATTCTTGGACTTTGTCTTTTGCGGGACCAGGAATTGAACTCGCAACCTTGAGCTTTCGAGGCAGGCACTGTGGAGCATATCCCAGCCCGAGATACATTGAATCCTTAATTCAAGGTACGGTTAGTCACCCACGTCCCTTTGGCTCCCCTGCCAGGGTCCCAGAGCATTTGTGGGCACCTACTCTGCAGCACTTGTGGTTGCACAGAGCAGCCTCGTGGAGCGTGGCCTCTGCTGCAGTGACAGAGAATGAATGCAGGAGAGCCGTGTCCTGTGGCCACTTCGCAGGCTGCCACGAAGCAGACTCGAACCTTGTATAAGTGACTGAGGGATACTGGTGGTGACCCCACCCCCGTCTGTAGAAGGCTCCTCTTGGTAAAAGGTATTTTAAAAATAAAAATTTTGGATTAAAAGGAAAACAACCCCTGCTGTTTTTGTTCCTAACAATGTTTGTAAATTTAAATGGAAAACCACTTGTGCATACTAGTATTGGGTTGCAGTTATTCCCTTGAGCTTTATTTAAAATACACTACTTGATTAAGATTTCCATGAAGATGACTTCCAATAATCACAAAATAAATGCATTTCAAAGTTAAAATTTTGTGTTATGTTTATGTATCGCCATTGAACTTATGTAAAGCGTTACCTGACTTTAAAAATCAAAGTAACTTGATCTTTTTTATTTCAGGTGCTTTTTCAGTGGCTAGCATCCTTCTGTAGTAGTGGTGGTTGTATATGTAGGGCTCTGCCCAAGCTCTCTGGCAACCTGCTAGATTCCTGCACGTTATAATGGTATCACTATCATTCTTCTAAAGAAAGTAATTTTGTCTTATTTAGTTCTGCTATATAAAGAAATTGTTTGGTGTTTTTTTTTGGGGGGGTGGATGCTTTTTGAGACAAGGTCTTGCTATGGAGACCAGACTGGCCTCAAAATAGCAATCCTGCCTCAACTTGACCTCCCAAGTGCTGGGATCACCGGTGTGCACCGCCACCTTGTCTGGCTAATGCTGCCCCGTGTAACAGACACACCCATGAGCCAGCTTTTGCTCCCTCATGCGAAACGGGTCTCCAGCCTGGAGGGTAAAGGGCTGGGCCTGATGTCCAGTCCGGCCCCTACTTGTCCTCCTTGCCCTTTCTTTTCCGAGATTCTCACTTTTAACTGTATTAGTATCTTCCAGTGATTGTAAAATCAGCCTTCAGAGTAGCAACACATATGAGTGTTCCAACATGTCCTTATTTATCTCAGTGCTTTGAAGGGGACACACATGCATGTTCCAAGGGAATCCCTGAGTGTTCGCCAACAACTGCTTGGCGTGAGTGTGACAGGGCCAGGGTCCTGGCCGCACTGTGGCCTCCCTGACAGATCCTTTCTGCAGGATGCTGGAACCAGCCAAGAGTCTGACAGCCGCACCCGAGTGGGGAGCCATGCATAGGAATCAGGGCGGAGATAGAGCAGGTAGGTACGGGGCTGGAGGGAAACACTTTTCATTTTCCAAACGCTGGCCAAAAACAAGCTTGTGCTGTCCTCAGGGGTCAGGGACAGGTCCATGGAGCTGCTACTCAGCTGCGGTACCGAAATCCGACTGTTTACAGAAACACACACAGAACAGTGTGGGTCTTTTGTGTGTGAGGAATACCTACACACTAATAAAAAAGTTTGAAATGGCGATTGATTTTAGAGCAGCAGGGTTCTGTGGCTGCTTCACTTCCCCAGATGAAGGACTGACACATCCCTCCACCTTGTTAAGGAAGCAAGATGCCATGTAGATAAGGTGTTTTATGTGTGTTAGAAAAATTTAATGATCAGTGTTGAAAAGAATTCAATGAAGTGGCTACATTTAATTACTGAAGACAGTATATAAACAGATGTGACTTTTATACAAAAAATGTAGAGGTAAGTGTTAGGCCATGGAAAGTGTTTATCCCCGCTGACCCAGCACACCCCAAGTGGGAATTTATACAAAGACAAGGCCCCATACATGAATGTGTCCTAGGAACAGCAACAAGAGACAAAGAACCCAAAAGTCCCAGAAGAGGGACATGGACCAGAATTACGGCACAGCTACATGAAATGTCTTTAAAATTGCCAGGAACCATTCCAACAAGAAAAGGCAAGTTACAACAGAGATTTGAGAAGAATACATTTGAGAAACCAAGTGGCCGTGTAATCACACTGGTAAAACTAAAGGTGACTGTCCCACTGTATGCCTAGTGTCAGAGTATATAAAAATTTATCACAAGATGCAAAGATCTTTAGCTTCAAATGATCTGACACAGACCCCTCAGCACAGAAGGGCTGCTACCATCCCTGGATCCTCTAGGCCTCCCGGGTGCTCGGCCTGTTCCACCAGCTCCTGGCCCCTGTCCAGCGAAGAGCAGCGACCCTGGCCCTAGCGGAGCTGTCCCTTCCTTCACATAATGTGCTCATCTACAAAGTGGCAAAATACGTAGTGCTACATCCTAGTGTGAGGCAAGAATTGAATCTGAAAGGCCTAGATAATTAAAATGCTAGTTTTAATTGAATGGGAAAAGCTTGCCACTGCAGTGGTTCCCTTATCTGACACAACCTGTTGCGTGGCAACACCTAACAGTGAGTACGGCTGGGACCCCATCGTCTAGTGCCTGCAGCCCTGAAGGCTAATTCAGCCTGCTCTCGGCATTTGCTTGCAGGGCTTTGGCACCCACTCCCTTTGAGTGCTCCAGCAGCTTGATGGCCTTGTCTGAGTTCTCGATGTTCCTAAGCAGAGTCTCTAGTCTTCTCTTGATTTTCTTCTGATCCTCAAGAGCACAGCCAATCACTATCGACTGAAACTTCTGGTCCACTGGCCCTGGTGGTACCTCGGACGAGCATGCGCTGTACAGTGACATTAAGTGACTCTTGGCATTGGCCAGGTCATCCAGGAACTTACTAACCACTTCGTCTATGATCCGCGTGGCGTGTTTTAGGGACTCTTCCTGCTGCGGGCTTCTGATGGTTTCTACCGAAACTTCAACGGTGAGAGTTCGTCCCATCAAACGGTTTGCAGTCAGGTTTAACTCTTCGCGTTCTCCTGCACACAGATGGTTGCGATTTATCGATAAACTGTCCATATGAAGCATTCACTTTACCTTTTAATCTCTTCTGCTGTGAAACTTAAAAGTACAGACTAAAATTCTAGCACACAAATAACTGATGCAGTGTTAGACTTGAAAACGAGGGAACGGAATGCCTTTCCTTGAAAATCCACAGGGACACCAAGGGGATGAGCAAACAGCAAGGAGCAGAAGCAGGGAAGCGCTGCGGAGCTCTGACATGCCGCAGAGTGTCCGCTGAACACACTCCCGGCTCCCGTGAGAAGTCAGGCAGGACAGCAAAAAAGCTGCCCCCGTCCTGGGCCAGAGGGGAGGTCATGGCCACCCTAGGATGGAGCTCTGTCAGCTGTGATTCTAGGAAAACAGCCAGCAGTCTCCATGTCGTGTTCCTCTTTCCTAAGTCCCCAGTCTCTGGCCAGAAAGGAAAGAGCCCGACAAGAGCATGGTGACAGTTCGGGCTGGGGTCAGACTGCCCAGCTCACCAGCTGCCTGGCCCTGGCTAGCTATGGAAACCCAGGACCCTGCTGGAAGCCAGTGCTCCTGGTAGGGTCGCCGGGCCCTCCCACGAGGGCAACAATGCGCTCTCACATTGTGGAGTGTCCTGGTCCCATCCTTTACCTCTACTCCGGAGTTCCTCCACTTCCCCTGCATGCACTGTCCTCACCCTTCAGGGCCCTGCCCTCTCTCACCTGCTGCTTTTCCAGGCACGAGAGTGAGGCAAGGGAGTGCGCAGGGACGTGACCGCACCCCGCAGCTCACCACAGCCCAGTGCTAACCCACCACGGACCCCCAAGGAAGCGGCTGGGGCAGCGCTTGCTCACCGTCGCTGATCTGCCGCATGTCCTGGCTGTTCTGGATGCTGTGGATCATCTCCAAGAGCACCTCCTTCTCCTGCTCAACGGCACTCGCTGCTTCTCGCAATGCTTCAACCCTGCGTAAATCCGGCAGACAAAAGTCACCACTGCAGTGGTCTTCCTGTTCCACCTCAAATCTAAGATCCGTGGGAATGCATTTTGAAAGTTTGTTTTGCTGGCTAGATAGCTCAGGGGTCTGAAGCGTCTGCTTAGCAAGCTTAGGCAAGCATAGGGACTGTGGGTTCGATCCCTGGCACCATAGGCCGCGCCAGCCCCGCCCCCAGGGCAGGCTGAGCCAGCCACAAAAAAAAAAAAAGTTTGTTCATTTTTTAAAATTACCAGGTATATTGGTGCACATCTGCAATCCCAGGACTAGCAGGATGAGGCAAGAGGACCACTGCAAATCTGAGGCCAACCTGAACTACATAGTGAGACTATGTCAAAAACAAAAACATTCAATCTCTTTTCTTTTAAGAACAGGGTCTCACTACGCAGTTCAGGATGACTCTTGTAGCAATCCTGTCTTAGCCTCCCCAAGTGAATGCTGGGATTCCGGCATACCACTGTGCCCAGCTTTTTAAATTCTAATTTACTTTGTTCAGTTTTTCCCTGCTCACAGGGCAACTGTTCTACTTTATTTGCATTATATGTGTATTTGTGTATTTTAAATTTACATCTGAGTTGGGTTTTTTCTTTTTGTTGCTTTTTTTGCACTATTATGCTACTGGATTTCTAAGACCATCTGCTTTCCTGGGCATACCCCTAAGCACTGGATTCTGGTTGCCAGTTCCATGTATGTTCCTATCCGATTGTACCATCTCCATGCCCCGGGGGGGATCAGGCTGTCCGTCCATCTAGGTACAAATCCGGTCCTCAGGGGTTGCCAAGAGTGACCCCGTGCATACAGATGTGAACTTCACGGCAGCAGACCTGTCTGGGTTGGCCTGCGCTGGACAGCGTTTGCCACAAGATGGGGTCTCGCTGTATTGCCTGGCAGGTGTCTTGTGGCCTGCCTGGCTTCTGAGGAGCCAAGCTCACTGGGCGTGCCTGCCCCCTTTGAGGGGCTCGTTGTGGTGTGATGGAGGTCTTACCTGACAGTTTGCACTTGAACTTTTCAGGCCTTATTAGATCATAAAATAGTTTTCTCATTAACTTTTATAGTTGTAAGTTTTGGATATTTGCCACTAGAATCCATTCCTGTAGTTAGGTAAAGATTTTGCTTTACTTTTTTCTAGTGAGCCATTTCCCCCTGACTTATTTACCAAATAATCCATCTTTCCCCTACCGACCTGTACGTCAAATTTACCTTTGAAGTCTCCAGCACACACTGCAGTATTTGATCTTATACCAACATGTTTTAAAAAGTAGCATCAGCCTTATAATATGCCCTAAAATTTGATAGAGCAAGACTCTACCAGAAATAAAGAAGCTATGTGCCCTAATTCTCTTTTATAAACTTTCCAGCAAGTTTATTTGGTTTCTCAAAAAAGTGGAGGAAATTTGACAGCTTTATAATAGTGTTACATTCAAGGACATGATATTTTTCCATTAATTAAATCCTCTAAGGCCTTTCTTTGACTTTGAGTTTTAGTGCTTTAAGTTTTCCTTTTCCGTGTTTTTAGTGAGTGCTGGTTTGTGGTGCATTGTAGGAAACCACACCTTTCCTCTCCCCCAAAATGCTGCCCTTGCCACGACCTGTCCCTGACCGCTCCTGCACCCTCTCCTGGGAGCTACACAGCACAGATGTCCCCGAATGGCTAACAGAGTGTGCTCAGGTCCAGCCTGGGCACCATGGGCTCATTAACAGCAAAGCAGTGACAGCCATGCAGTCAGCTGGCTGCAGGCCCGAGGAGGAGCCTGTGATTGCAGGGCCGAGACAGGAGACACCTTCTCAGCTGCGGCCAGGGGACCTGAACAATTATAGCTTCCTGGCAGTGAAGGCGCCAGCCTTGCGCACGCGCAAATTAGCTGAGTGCTACTAATTGGAGGCCTCTGTGCCTGGCACAGCTACAAAAGGCCTTCTTCCCCTGTGCTCTGCTGGGACCCGCCTCCCTGATGGATACCAGTAAGAGCCAGGAGCTTTGGGAGGTGGGGCCTGCAGTTCCAGAGAGAACCCTGGGCCATCCCAGAGCTCCTCAACTGAACTTTTTCTTTTGCATCCGTGTGCCATTTTGCCGGATGGGTAGGACTGCAACCCTCAGTTGGGCTTTTGTCATACAGGATGGCCACACGCTGTGTCCACAACACAGCTTCTCTCCTCTCCATCTCTGACACATTTATAGTACACAGGAGACAGCTGGTGTACAGGTTGGCCTTCAACTTATGATTCTCCTGCCTCAGTCTCCCAAGTGTTGGGATTCCAGGCATGTGCTACCATGCTGGCTTTTGTCAGAATATTAAACATCCTTGGGGCTGGCGAGATAGCTCAATGGTCTAAAATGCCCACTCAGGCAAGCTTAGGCAAGCACAGGGACTACCATTTGATACCCTGCCCCTAGGACAGGCTGAGCTGGCCACAAAAAACACAAATAAAAAAGAACTTTAAACATTCTTCACAGTAGCTTTGTTTGCTAACATGAATGATTTTGATTACATTTTCTAGTCAATTGTTGCTGGTTCTAGAAATGCTGTTTTGTACCATATTCAACTTGTAACTATTTATTTATTTATTTATTTTTTGCAGAACTAGGGATTGAACTCAGGTCCTTGTGCTTGCCAGGAAAGTGCTTATTCCACTGAGCTATCTCCCCGGCCCCTGACAATTTATTTACACTTATTAATTTCAGTGGTTAGTTTTCTAATTCACTAGTTCTAATAGGTTAATAACCCTATCATCTGCAGAAGAAAAGGTGATCGATCTTGCCTCTTGCTTTCTTTTTTTTTTAAATTTATTTATTTTAGTGTGTGTGTGTGTGTGTGTGTGTGCCCAGCTCAGCCCACCAGGGGGCGGGGCGGGCTGGCATGTGGTGCTGAGGGATTGAACCGTGGTCCCTGTGCTTTGCTTAGCTTAGCTTGTTCTAAGTAGGTGCTTTAGACCACTGAGCCATCTCACCAGCCCTTGCCTCTTGCTTTCTGACCCTGCCCTTTATTTTGCCTGCATGGCACTGAAGAGGCCTCAAGTGCACAGCAGTGCAGTGATGGTGTGTTTGTGTGTGTCTGTCTTGTCTGTCTGTCTGGTGTTCAGAGGAGCCAGCTCGATTTCCGGGGTGCAGCCCTGATGGGTAACAGAGGCACCACCAGCTCTGCCATAACAAGCCAGGTGACAGCTCCAGTCGCTGACAGCCGAGGCTGCACCATGAGTAAAGCAGAGGGAAGAACTTGCATGTTTAAAGTTCTTCCTTTCCACAGTGTTCTCTTGCTATAGGTTCCAGTCACTGAGTTGCTGGTCTTTGTGCAACTGGAGATGACAGACGGCCTCAGAGTGTGTGACTGATCCCGGAAATGGAAGAGCAGCTCAGAGCTCAGTGAAATGCCACCTCCCGTGGGCGCAGGAGGAGCAAGGCCCTCGAATTCTAGTACACGCCAGCTCCAAAGCAGGAGCCAGCCCCAGCCACACATGCCTTCCCCACCTGTCACCCCCAAAATAGCACCAGGGCTGCAGCCAGGGTGGCTTCATTCTTGCAGATCCCGGGATCTTTGTGCCACTCTGTACTCAGAAGGGTCAGTAAGTAAAAGCTGGGAAGAATCTAAACTAGACCTTAGCTGGAAAACACAAGCACACTGTTCCTAAGGCTCAGCCCTGCTGGCTCATTCTTTACTCAGAGGTTTAAATCAATAAAATGACTACACCGAAACCCAGCACAGCTGACAAAGGTCATACCTATGCTAAATGTCAGCTGTGACTCCAACATTTCGATAAATGACAGACACTCAAGTCTGAGCTGGTGGTAAATTGTGTGCTGGAAGCGGAGAGACGGGCAAGGGCTCATTCAGGTGCTGCCTGTGGGGATTTCCAAAGTAAGTCCTCATAAAATGCAGTCCTGCCTCTAACTTTTTTTTTTTTTTTTTTTTTTTCAGAATGGGGGATTGAACTCAGGCACTTGTGCTTGCCAGGCAAGCACTTATTCTAACTTAGCCACCTCCCCGCCCCCCTGCCTCTAATATGATCACTTGTCAAAGGACCGCTACATCATCCAGTTCATACTTTCAATAATATAAACATTTTAAGGATTTTCCTGATGATCAAGATTCCCTGTGAAGGGCAGCCAGATAGCTCAGCGGATTAAAGCGCCTGCTTAGGCAGATTCAGGGCACTGGGGTTCAATCCCTGGCCTGCCATGCCGGCCCACTGAGAGGAGATTGAAACTGGGCGTGGTGGCATGTGCCTATAATCCCAGCATTTGGGAGGCTGAAAACAGGAGAATCAGGAGTCTGATCTGTGTAGTGAGACCCTGTAGACCCTGTACATTAAAAAAAAAAAAAAAAAAAGATTCTCTGTGAAAGACAATGGTGCTTCCAGTGTGGGCGCCAGCAGGCCACAGGGTCTGAGGGCAGGGCGTGGTGACACCCAGGAAAAGCCCCTCCTAATTACAGGCTTACAGTAACTCTGATGCCTTATGAGTCAGGCCCCCAGCAGGTACTGTAGGCAGCACCCTGCTCTAGCCGCCACCTCCCCACCTGTCTCCAACCCAGCACCCCCACCGAGCTAATGAGCACCCAGCGAGGGCCCCAAGTATACTGAAGTAGGCTCATTTAAATGGAAGTTTCATCTTCTTCACTCAGAAAAGTCATGGGTTCAAGCAGGGCACATTTAACTAAGCATTCAGGCAGAGCAGTAAGCCTGGCCGCCGAGGGCTGCGACTGCCTGCTGTGTGACTGAGCCTCCTACTCCTCAGTCTCGACCTCCCCCACATGCCCCCCAGGGCACACGGCCGCAGCAAACGGTGTCTATGAGCATCACCTGCAAGCTACAGCAAGCTAAAAAGTAAGCACAGTATCAGGGTGTCCAAAATTCAGATGGAAACAGTCATGAAAATGCAGAGACAGGAATCACCTCTTTAGGAGAAGCAAGAAGCGTGACAACGCAGGAAAAAGCTAGAAGGCCAGTGTAATGATGAAACTATTAGGAGCAAAAATTCTTCTACGTCAGGAGAACAAGCCAAATATTTCAGAGCACTTAAAGCCCCACAGAGGCCTGGTCAGGCTCAAAGTCAGAGCGCACGTGGGATAAGCCTGTTTGCGGCTTTAAATGGAAGAAACGTCCTCCGAGGCCAGCAGGGTCGGGGCAGGGGGCCCAGGAGCTCGGGGACGAACCCGGCGCCCCGTCCCGCTTCACCGCGCACTCTGGGGACCGAGCTCCTGGCGCGGCGACCTGAGAGCGCTGGCTTCTGGGCAGATTTCTATAGTGTGATGCTCTGCTGCTGAGCGGTCGCTAAAAATCTACCACAGGTGCAGCCTCGGCAGTTTGCTTTCTTTTTTTGTGGATACCAGAGTGAGCGCAAGAACCCCCGCGCTGGCGCCGCGGAGCTACGCCCCGAACCCCCTTTTTTACTTTCGCTTGTCTTCTGAAATTCTTCCTTAGGATTACATCTTTTAAGGAAGAAGCAAAACTTACAAGTGTAAGTTACTAGGAAAGTCTTTGAAATAAACGAGACACAGAACGCTTCCTCCTCGGGACGAGGGTTCATTGCACAGGCTCGGACGCCCCCACGAGCGTGCGGGATGCGAATCCACTTCCCACGAGTCACGCTCGCGACTCTCACACTCGGCCGGCGGCTTCCTCGGCGAGGCAGCGCTGCGGCGTGCCCGGCCCTGCGCCCGGCTCGGTGACTCAGCCCGAGAGGAGGGGACACGCTCGGCCGGAGGGTCGGACCCCGGGGTCGCCGCGCCGTCTGCGCCTCCGCTGCGCGCCGCGGCGGAGCCTCCGGCAGCCTTGGCCCCGGCGTGACCCCTGGGCACGCGCGGTCACCGTGCACCCTCGCGGTCACCGTGCACCCTCGCGGCGGACCACGCAGGCCGGACGGGGGCATCCGGGCGGGCGGACGAGGCCTCCCTGCACGGCGCGGGCGGGTCGGGGGCGTCCCTGCGCGGCACAGCGACCCTCCTCAGCTCCGTCCCATCCGCGCGCCCTCGGCGGACAGCTGGAAGAGCGGGAGCAGGGCGCCCTTCGGTGTCCCCGCGACCCTCGGGTCCCCGTTCCTCAGTGTCCCCGCGCCCAGCTCCCACCCGCAGCCCTGGGTGTCCCGGCGCCCCGCGTCCCTCGGTGTCCCCGCGGTGTCCCCGCGCCCGGCCCCCGCCCGCCGCGCCCCTCGGTGTTCCCGCCCTCCGCCCGCCCGCTCACCGCAGCTCCAGCTGGTCCAAGCTCTCCAGCAGGCGGCCCGAGCGGTCAGCCATGGACGACGAGCGGCAGAAGCGGCCCTCGCTGGCCCGGGCCT